GCCGAGCGCGTTGGTCCCTGTCCTTTCCCGTTTTTCGGTTCAAAGGGCCCACTATGAACTACATCAAATCCCCTTTCTTTTCATCTTCTGCTGTTAAGAAGGGAAGAGAAAACCCAGTCCTATAACGTTCGTGTGGTGAGGAAGAGAAGAGTAAACAATGGGGTGAGGGCTTGTCCCTAAATACTGGCAAGGTGGCTGCCAGGTGGAAGAGTGGAGCCTTGTTCTCTCTAGTCCTGAGGATTTTTACCAGGATTAAGGGTGGACGTTAGAGAGAGGCCAGTTCCAGTCAACAGAGAAGAATTAGGACCAGAGTCCTGTATTCTTGCTGGTCAGCATGGCCTGACTTAGGAGGCACTGTGCTCCCCCAGCTCCAGCGGATTCAAGGAGAGTCCAGAGAACCAGTGGGAGAAGGTAGGTTGTACAGGAGATTTAAGCATCAGGTGGGAGGTTGGATTAATATCCTTTCGGGTCTCTTCCAAGATTCTGTGATGCTCTAAGTAGTTGTAGAAGTGAAATTTTTCTGTTATTTTCTGAGTTAGTGGGTAAATAATTCGTTTGTTTCAGGCACATCTCATTACCTATGCTAAGACCATCATGTAAAGAAAGGTCCTCAAAGGGTTAAAATCCTACATAATTAAGCTTCCAGGAGCTTTAACACAAAATATATGCCTTTTTTGGAGCCTGGCCTGCTCTTTTCATTGTGGCCCTTGAACTGAATTTCACCTCAGTAGGGCAGTGTTGCAGGATACAGGCTCTGCCTTGCTGGCATCCACAGTCCGGGCCCTTTCAGCACAGTCTGTGGTGCTCTCCATCTCCTGTGCAAGGCAGATGTTCAAAAATCTTTCCCTAGGATAAGCTCAGGCGGGGCTCAGCCCTGCCCAGATCTCAGCATCTTTAACTGTAGGATGCCAGATGGTTAATACTATATGTTTATTTTGGAGCTCACAGAACTTTTTCACGGACAAGAGAAGGATAACCTCCTTTTGTAGAGGAGAAAATGAAGGCCCAGTGGTTAAGCCACTGACCTGTTAACCAGCAAAACTAGAGCTGAACCCAGGTGTCTGATTCTCAGACCGGTGGGATTTTTCCAATTTCAGAGATTTAAAACTGGCTAGGCTATTGACATGTTTGCTAAAATCTTGTTTGATTTTAAATTAAATTTTATTCATACCAGAGTAATACTTGTTTATAGTTTAAAAACTAAAATAGTACTAAAAATACTCCAGAAAATAGTGGTGGGCTGCCCAACTCCTCATACACCCCACGCTCCCTGTGCAACGCCCTACACCACATCCCCTTATACAAGGCCAAGGCTTCCATGTGCCAGTTCTTTTAGTTTTTACTTCTTGGATTTAACTGCATGTTTCTAAATTATATGCTTACACTGCTTTCTTTGATTCAACAATTTTAGACATTATCTGTTAACTTCTTGTCATAGTAGATAAGGATTTAGTTCTCTTACCTGCCCTTCTTGTTTCCATCCTTCCAGTATAGCTCTATTATAGTAATTTTGCTAAATCAGTGTTAATATTAACATTGTTATAACCATGCAGTATTGTTTACTTTTGAGCCAAATTGTATTTTACGATTTTTTTTTGTTTTCTAGTACAACTATTACCTTTCAAGTAGCTAATAAGAGCCTCACTTTTTCATTTGTTTCATTTTCTATTATTAACTGCTATTTTTTCCCCAAAGCCTCCAAAAGCTGAAAGTACCTTTCCACATGTTCCTACGTATCAGATAATTAATCAGTTTATTTTTTATTTAGAATCTTCCTTCTGTTGTCTTCCAGCAGACATTGGTTACTTTCTAGACCAGGTGTACAATGATCGTCCTGGGACTTCCTTTACCACTCTCCTGTCTTGAATCTCATTCCTGGATTCCACGTGTGCCTCTTTCTGTCTTTACTGCCATATTTTGCTGAAGCACATTCTGTAACTTCCTATGAAAGAGTGCATTGGAGGTTAATTGACACCTTACATATCTGAAAATGTCTTTATTCTATCCTCAAACTTAATAGATAACTTGGCTAGGTATAGAATTCTGGATCAAAAGTTATTTTCACTCAGTTTTGAAGGTGGCATACCAGTGTTTTCTAGTTTCCAGAACTGCTAAGGAGTCTGATGCCGTTCTGGTTCCCTTTCTTTTATGTTACCTGTTCAACCTCACCCTACTCTTAGAGCTTTGGAAGCTTCAGGGAACTTCTCTTTATTGCTGCCGTCCTGAAGGTTCATGATGATGTGGTCCTTTTTTCAATGGAGTCCTTTTTTTTGACATATCATGGGTACATTAAATATATATATGAATTTGTGTTTTAATTTCCTCTCCATTTTGTTTTTTTCTTTCTGTTGGATTTCTATTGATCCTCTACCTATCTTTTCTCTCCTATTGTCTATATCTTTGACTTTTCATTCTACTTTATAGAAGATTTATTTTCTGTTTCTTCTATTACACATATTAAAATTCTGCTATATTTCTAAATTCAAGAGCTTTTTCTTATTCTGAGAATTCTTTTTCCATAGCATCCTATTCTTGTCTCATTGATGAAATATCTTCTCTTATCTTTGAGGATACTCAATAATTTTTTTTTGTTTTCTTCTGGTCCCTCCATTGCCTCTGCATTTTATTTGCTTTTTCTTTTGATCTCTGTCTTCCATTTAGAGTTTTTTCCCCTCATATTTAAGAGTGAGGCACTATAAAGCTCTTGTGACGAGAAGCTGTGTGAGAGACAGAGAGAGAGAACGTGCTCGTTTGTTGACAGGATAACTTCAATGTAGGGAGATTAGGCTGTGTGTTGCCCTTTTAATCCAGAGACTCTCAAATGTTAGTAAGTGGAGATTTTTTTCCAAGGCTTTTCAGTTTCTCCAGAGAAGAATCTTCAGTCTGGGGATATATGCCTGGCTGCCACTGCTTTGGGATGGGTTGGGAGGGAGAGGGCTGAGTGTCCTCGAGTTCAGACAGAGACTTTCAATGAACACCTGTGTTCAGCCTATGCTCACTATCATCTGCCTCCTCAGTTATGCTCAGAGGGGGCTGAATCTGCAGTCTCCTTCAAGGCTTGGGCTGGCAGAGGCTCCTGGCTGTAGGGAATGAGGAGAATACTGGTGGCTTCAGCCGCTCCATGTCCATATTCCCCAACCCCTATGTTCCCAAGACTGTAACTTCTTACATTTACAGAAGTCAGTTATTACTTCCTTCAACTTTCCCAAATTTGTTGAAATCTTACTCTCGTGTTGTCTCTGCTCAGGGTTTCTTTGTGGCTTCCTTTTTTATTATTTTACTGTTATTTTAAAAAACAGATAAGCATGTTGGACAGTTTGCTGTGTTTAATGGGAAGCCTCACAGTCTTTTTACAAATTGAATTCAAATCTTTTTTGTGTGTGTGTGTGTGTGTGTGTGTGTGTGGAAGATCAGCCCTGAGCTAACAGCCATGCTAATCCTCCTCTTTTTGCTGAGGAAGACCAGCTCTGAGCTAACATCTATTGCCAATCTTCCTCCTTTTTTTTCCCCAAAGCCCCAGTAGATAGTTGTATGTCATAGTTGTACATCCTTCTAGTTGCTGTATGTGGGATGCAGCTTCAGCATGGCCAGAGAAGCGGTGCATTGGTGCGCACCCGGGATCCGAACCCGGGCCGCCAGTAGCGGAGTGCATGTACTTAACCGCTAAGCCGCGGGGCCGGCCCCACATCTTTTCATCTCTGTTGTGTCCTCTTCAATCTCCACAGGCCATTTTCTTACACTTGACTTTAACTTTTCTTACTCTTTGACCATATCTTCCAGGCCCCTGAAGGCATCTGAGTCTTCCATCCGTGCTGCAATCCATGCTCCAGCTCTATCACTCAAGTGCTCGTGGGCTGCCAGGCATAACAGAATGGACATTCTGTGTATATGTGGCAGTTTTGTCTCTGCCTTCCAGCCCCATAGGAGCTGGCTGCAGTAACAATTTGTATGGAATGGAGTATGCTTACATGAAGGATCTGTCTAAAAGAAATCCCACCCCAGTACTCAAAAACACAAAGCGTAATTAGAAATATTTGGCAAAATAAAGATTTCTTGCCCTATACAGAATTAAGAAGTTAATATTTCTCCCCTCTTACATAAATTTAGTCTTCTTACTACACAGAGCAAGTTATTACTGTTTGAATGACTTACCAGTGGTCTTCTCAGATGGTACAAAATAATGGGCCTCCACCAACTTTTTCTAATATTAAGAATTAACTACAAAGATAAATGTAGACTTCTTGACTGTCATAGCACAGAAGGTAGACTGCACATAAACATACTCCCATTTCTAAGTCTGTTATATTTAGTAGTTAAATATTACTTTAAGTTTTGAGAATTATCTTTTTTAATATGTTAAATTAATGAATTGTTTAGCTCTAGGAAAAACTATCAACCATCTTCCTTTAAACTTGTGAAAATAGTTGTAAAATGAATTTTTTTAGCCATTGCTATTGCGAATAATAGATTTCAAAATGTGCAGTTCCATCACAGTCCTTTCATCTTGGCAAAAACAGTTATGTATTTTTCAGGAATTTGAATTTCAATTTGGCCATATGTTTGTACAACTCTTGTGGCTCAAAGGATGTATTACAGGATTATTGGATTTATAGACTGCACTACCAAACTCCCTTTGGTCTCTATGCATAAGGCATAGCATTAATGTTTCTAATGGCTGCAGATGAACTCTGTATAATTTCCTCAGTTGATGCAGATTTCCCTTGTTCTTGCTAAGTTATGGCTGTGTCATGCACTGCTTCGTGTTAGAAAATGTTTTAAGCATTTGCTTTGGAAAAGCACTATACCACACCTGAGAAGCTAAGTCTATTCATACCCAGTTGTTGTTTTGTTGTGTTTTTTGTTTTTTTTTGAGGAAGATTGGCCCTGCGCTAACATCCGTTCCCAATCTTCCTCTTGTTCTTTTTTTCTTCCCAAAGCCCCAGTACCTAGTTGTGTATCATAGTTGTAGAGCTGTAGCTCTTCTATGTGGGACGCCACCTCAGCATGGCTTGATGAGTGGTGAGTAGGTCCACACCCAGGATCCAAACCAGCGAACCCCGGGCTGCCAAAGCGTGACGCTCGAACTTAACGCTACACCACTGGGCTGACCCCTGCCCAGTTGTGTACTATGTAATCTTCATGAGGCAGATCCTCTTCTGTCTGCTTAGAAAAGCTCTGGATTAGCAACTCATAGCCTGTGTC